GACGACAGGATTAGGAATTGGTTTTCACAGTATATTAAAATCGGTCAGAAAAAGATGGAGCAATCGATTCACACCACTCTTTCAGACCTCAGGAGAGAACTACTCAAAAGTGTTGACGTTTTGGTACAAAATGGTCTCAAATCGGACGAGAGCTTAGAATCGGGTGTTTCCGAGGCCTGTGTACTGATCCGACTCTACTGTGCATTACGTGGTGTCGCGAACATGAAGTTCACTGAAGACGAGACCAACTCTATTGTAGCGCTCATTATATGTCATCCGCCGCCCAATCAAATTGGCATCAGATTCGTGTCATTGGGTCTCTCAATGATATTATCAACGCCTCTGTTGATCACGAATGCCGACAACGAGCAGAAGGCCATCGATTGGATCAAATGGTTGGTCAAAGAGGAGAGTTATTTCGGTCGCATGAGTGACGTGAAATCGTCTTTTGGTGAAATGTTACTTAACCAACGGTAAGTGAAGGTGAGGTTAGTTTACTGCCGTTAGCGTCTCAACCAGAGTAGGTGCAATCCGTAGTTTGAAGGGTAAGCATGGTTATTAGATTTGGCTTAGTTTTGGTAGAAGTGAGTCCAGATATTCACCGACCAGACAGTGACCGCACACGCCGTCAAAGTGCCCGTCACTCAGAACCTGAACAGCTCTGTCGCCGGCTTTCTTCCCGTTCACTGTATCTATCAATTGCTTAAAAGCCGAGCCTTTACTAAACATAAGGTTCCCATAAAGGACTGGATATTCAAACAGATCTGTAACGCGAGTCCAGCCATTCATCCCATTTTTCTGCCACTAATCGAAGTGTACGTCCACTCGATTATCCATCCGAGTCCTAAACTCGCCTCAAACACCACTAACGAGCCCTTCGCCGAAGAGGACATTCTTCGCATTTTTAAATTCAAAGTCTATTCAGTGGAAGACAACGAAGACGACCAGCGAATGGATGTGGACAGAGAGGTGTCGTGCGAACTGACATCACAGCTATTATTGCTGTATTTCGTATTACTCTACGAAGACATACGTTTGTCCTCTCATTCAAAGAACACTCAATTCATTGACAGAAAAGTAATGAAATATTCGTCAGAATTTTTGGCCCAAATTCCGATCTTCTTCTTAATCCAATCGGCGAGAAATGATCAGCAAAACTATGGAGTAGTCATCTCATCGCTACTCAGACTCGTGTCACACCATTACCCACACCTCTGTCTCGTCAAAGACTGGTTACCCTCTGAACCGTCGAATCCAAGAGAATTGATGTCTAAATCGCGAGAGATTTCAACGCAAAACGAGAGACAAATATTTGCGAATTCTTTTGACACCAATTCTCCGTCACTTATAATCTCAGAATTGGATCGACTGTTAACTCTGCCGAAGAACCACTTGTGGCCGTTGGCGCCCGACTTTATATCGCGATTGCCGTCAGTGTTGTTGCCGTCGACGCCCCGACAGGTGCGGCAAAAAGTCAAAATTGTTTGGTTTGCGTTGAACTCGATTTTCCCCCGAAAACTATGGGTTATGACAATCAATGTGTTAAGACCTAAATTGTTTGGTTTTATGCCCAAAAGTCAACGCTTGACGTGGAGTGACATCGTATCGGATCCGTTGCATGTGTTGCGATGCGATGAACGCATCTTCAGGAATGCGGAACTCATGGAAATAACGTTACATATGTTGAGCGCATTTCTGGCCGCTTCCCGAATACATCTGACACATCATATGATGGAAACGCCCTCCAAGTCTATCGAAGAAGAGAAGGACAGGGAAGAGCTTCGATCGGCGCTACTAACGGCTCAAGAGAGTGCCGCCATTCAGATCCTATTGGAGTGTTGTGTCGACACAACTGATGAGACGAATGCCAATTTGTTAACCAATTTGAGAGAAGTTCAGGGATTGATTTGCAGTCATTTGCATCAAGTATTCATTAGTGATCCAAATATAGCCAAATTAGTCCACTTCCAGGGCTATCCCAACCAACTTTTACCGCTTGTCGTCGCAGCCATACCTTCGATGCATATTTGTCTGGATTTCATTCCGGAACTGTTAGGACAACCGGATCTCCAAAAACAAGTAATTCATGATTAATTGGCATTTATTCTTATATATCCTTTTTGTGTTTTTCTAAATATGAATGAATTACAANCGCAGCCATACCTTCGATGCATATTTGTCTGGATTTCATTCCGGAACTGTTAGGACAACCGGATCTCCAAAAACAAGTAATTCATGATTAATTGGCATTTATTCTTATATATCCTTTTTGTGTTTTTCTAAATATGAATGAATTACAATAACTTTCTAAATAAATAATTCATAATTATTTGTATTTTTTAAAAGGCATTTGCAATGAATTTATGTTCATATTTATGCAAACAATACTCGATTGCAAAGTCATTCAGTGTCGCAAAGCTGTGTTTCAATGTGTCGGTGACGTTGGTATCGGTGCTGCCGAGTGACAAAAGGGCCACTTTCTTCACCGGTGTATTGCCAGCACTCATCCGAATGTGCGCTCCATTCCCGCCCCTATGCGAGGATGCGGTCAAACTGTTGGTGCAATTGTCGCAAATCAATATGTCGTGTTTGGCCGCCACTTCACCGCACTTTATGTTTCCGGACGCCACTCTCAACCTCTACAACAAGACTGTCGAACGGCTCGATTGGCAACAATTGAATCACTTCTTCTCCAATCTTCCCGTCGAGGACTCGCTCTCTCTTAGCCTTCAAAAAGCCTTTTCGAGTTTATCGCAGTTTTCTTTCATTAAAAAAATTTATTAAAATCATTGCTTTTTGTTTTCAATCATATTTTTATGCATTTCATTACAATAATTGTCAATTATTTCTATGTTATACAGTATTGATGTAAACATTTGAATAAATAGTTTGTAACACTAATATCCTATAATATTTTGATTTTCCTCAAATCTTTTCCCACAAACCTTTTATAGACATAACTCATGTCACATAAGATTATTGTTTGTGACGAGGAATGGGCGAAGGCATCGATCATCACAATAAAAGTTCATTTCATAATCATATTCTGAGTTTAGGGAATACTATATATACAAATACATAGATAACTTGTGCTGATACATATTTAGGAGGGCTTTAAATATTTCATCTTGTACTTATTTAGCACTTATTAAGGTTATAATGTGTAAATGTGTATAACTTAAATATATTTATATAAGCGTTAATGCTTAACCATTAGACTCATGCTATACGTAGGGCATTCATTTTCCGGGAATTCCCGAATTAAATTAGTTAATCAAAACAGCGGGAATTATATACTATTAAATTTAGCGGTTATAATAGGTTCAAAATATATAAATTTTATATTTACAATATTTTCATAGTTTGAGGAAACTCCCGAGAAAGTTATTTGAGTATAAATAATCCCGAAAACACTTTTATACAAAAAATTTTTAAAAATATAGCAAGATTAATTAAAAATCTTGTTAGTGAATTGATTAGAAAATTTAAAAATTTTGCATAATTGATGAAATTGTCGTATATTACAATAAACATAAAGCTTATTCATACGTTTAACTGCAAAACAAAACGTAAGAAAAGTCAGATAGCATTTTCAATGTTTGTCAATTATTATAGCCTCAAAATTGTCATTATTTCATGTCATTACAAAATATCATTCATTTTTAAATCATTTAAATACATAATTATTGCACCAGAATTTAATTAAAGGATAATTTCGGAATTTTCTCGAATTTGACTGCTTTTACTCCCGAATAATGGAAGCTTTACGTAAAATAAGTGCAAGTGCTTAATAAGTACAACATGAAATATTTAAAACCCTCCTAAATAATAATATTATTTATTTATTTTATACATTAATTATGTGAATTGTGAGTCCATCTCCCAATACGTTTACCCATTCCTCACAATATTATGAATTTGTTGATATAATGGGCAGTATTTGTCAAATCAACCAAAATTCAATTCACAAAATACAGTCAAAGCAGTCTAAAACAGTCAAAGATAATTAAGTTCTGTTACTAATATTCATAAAGTTTTCTAAACTTTAATTAATTAATTCATATTTTTACAGTTACCTTAATTTTACTTAACATTTTGCTTGGTAATGTTAAACAATAAAATGGTTTTAATAGTTATAAATTATAATAATAATTATAACTTATAATGATTATAGTTTTAATTACCAATATACTTGGTGATCCATAGTAGCGATCGAGCGATAGAATAATTTATTTTTTAAAATAACGTGTTGCGATCCGAGCGGTCAGTTTCGGTACTGAACGGGATCGGGAATATGCGGAACCGGTCGCTACTAATACCCCAAACTTATGGGTAAAATTAGTACACATTATTGCCGATGAGAACAACATTTAT